CAAGCAGTTGATACAATCTGTATTTGTTCTACAGAAGAGGGCGGTTAAATATATAACTAGAGCTAAGCGTTTGGATCACTGATGTAGACCACTGTTCATCAAGAATAAAATATCAACAATTTATTGCATCTTCATTTTAAAAACAGTATGTCTCATACAAAAAAGAAGATACCATTTTCCTTCAGAAAATAAATATTACACTCGGCAAAAAGCCAATATACCTCTGCCGAAACCAACTTTAACGATGACCAAAAATTCAATTATATTTGAGAGTCGAAAGATCTTTAATCATCTACCAGCTGAAATGAAAAGTATGACAGACTTAAAAGCATTTCGAAAGCGTGTGGAAGAACTTCTGCTTTCAAAAGCATATTACAACTTGGGAGAATATTTTCAAGACAGATTTTGGGTACCTAAACCTGTGAGGTCAAATCGCCTGATTTTAAATTTTTGTAGAATCTTACGTCTTGTAAACTTTTATACTTTCTGTTGTCCAATATGTTGCTCTATTTATATATTTTAAATTTGAGACAAATTCATGCTTTGTCAATAAGAATTTCTTTTCCTTCGACAATAAAGTATATTTTGAATTGAATTGAATTGAATTCATTTCTGAACACCCTGCAGGATCATTTTCTTCATGACTTCTCAACACCATCATCTATCCTAATGACCAATTATAGCAAGTTTCCGTGATATCAAGTGTATTTTTTATGTCCGTGCGGAAAGAGACATCATAAATTCGAGCTCAAAAAAGATTTGGAAGAGGTAATTGAAAGGAAAATGGTCGTAATAGCATTCAACGGTGTTGAAGTCACCCTGAATGTCGAGGTACATGAGGTTTTCCACCGCTAGTTGTACAGGGTGTTTCTTAAGTACGTGTAGAAAATTCAGAAGCATGTTACTGATGTCAAAATACGAAAAAAAGTTCGTATAAATATATGTCCGGAAGTTATTCGTTTCTGAGATACAGAGTGTCAAAGTTGAATTCTTATTTTTTGTTAATAAATTTCGAAATGATTGTAATATTCGAATAACGTTTGGTATCTAGGGGTATTTTCCAATGACAGTATCAAATTTTATTATTATTTCAAATCCCAATAACTCGAAAACAGTTGCTCGCAGCGACCTCTACCAAGAATATATATATTTTTTACACAAAAGTGCTCTAGAAGTCTATTTTTCTACTATAAAACGTGATACAGGTACGCACAAAAAAGTTATGACTTTTCAAAAGACTCAGAAGACATTTAGGTGGCGCCACCCCGACGAAATAAGAGACAAACTAGCTCCATATAAAGGAACCTTCAAAAAGGCTCACGAGAGAGATCCTGTCACTTAATAGAAGGGATCTCAAGATGGTAGTTGGGATCTTAACTGGGCACAACCACCTCAACAGGCACCTAGAACTCATAGGGATCAAAGATGATTCCATCTGCATGCAGATGGTGCTTGGAGGATGATGAAACATCATCACACATACTCACTGAATGCCCCGCGCTGGTGCATCAGAGGAAAGCTGCCTTTGGGAGCATTGTACTGCACCTAAAGGACGTGAAAGTGACTCAGCTGGGGAAGCTGCTGAATTTCGTCAAAGAAATCGGCATGCCCAGCTGATTCACAGGATAAGTGGGCGCACAATGGGCCCAACTGAAGAGGCCTGAGTGCAGGGGTCTACGCACCCGCCCACCTGTGAAGAGAAGAAGAAGAGACAAACATTGATTTCGATAGTGTCATTGAAAAATACCCCTAGATATCAAACTTCATTCGATTATCACAATCATTTTGAAATTCATTAACAAAAAACAATAATAAGAATTCAACTTTGACACTCTGTATCTTAGAAACGAACAACTTTCGGAAATATATTTATACGAACTTTTTTTTCGTATTTTGACGTCAGTAACATGCTCCTGAATTTTCTACACGTACTAAGGAAACACCCTGTATAACCTGAACTATTATTTACTCCCTTTCAAGCTGTGAAGGGTGCTTTTTCTACTGTAAGGTAGTTTTCGCTATTTCATGAACTATAATATACCTACTAGTTCATATAAGGACATAGCCATATGCGAAATTCGCCAGTAAGTAGTTTTGTCATTGTCTTGTGATATTCTGCCAATCTGCCATGGTCATGGCTACTAGATTTGAATTAGAATTGAAAAGAAGTGCATTCATAGTGACAATAGGTCCTGATTTCAGGATCACAGAACTGTAATGATTGAAATATTTGCTGGTGGTGAAAATGAGTTTACGGAACTATCCGAACAAAATCGATAGGCTATTTCAGAGAAAAAAGGATTTCCTACATCCTATATAGCCCTAGACCTTTGAAACCCACGTCGGGCTGAAGAGTGCTTATCCATATGCTGTGTTCATTATTCTATAGAAAAATACGATAATTTCGCTGTACAACCGGAAAATCTACCGCATTGTGACTCCATTTTGTCCATAGCCAGCGATGTACTCACAACTGCGCGAAAAGCTAATTTGTTCTGTCAATTATTATTATGCATTTGGGACTGAATTCATGTAATAGCGTAGTTAGGTATTCTGCATGGAAGAGTTTCAGCATGAATTATTCATGTTGATAAAAAAAATTTAATGAATGTGATGGATGAAGAAAAGAACATTTTCCCAAACATATAAATATTGATTTTATTTCATAAATGTATGCAGAGTTTCATCAACAGCTTTCATGCCAATTCTACAAAAAATACAGATCGCGATTCTCACTATTGGGTGTTGCACCTTATCTACCGTCATACCCGCCAATAATAATAATAATAATGAGTTCATTCAGAGTCCAATGATTGATATATTACATGCATTACATATTATATTTTATGGCGAATTGAAGAAAGCAAGAAAAACCCATTAGGACCTATGGAGGTTGATCATGAGTTGATTTTTTTGTTAGGGAAATGGATACACATATGAAGATATGCATTGAAAATTCGTATTCTCTATGTGATAAAAATATTGATTCTTTCTCGGTTAATTCAACAGAATACAACTACTTTCCTGGCTATATATGCCAAGACGAACATTGAATAATATCTATTGAACACACACGATAAGAATTTGAAAACTAAATCTTCTAAAGTTGAGAATTTGCATTCTCCTTCATATAAAAATATGTATTTGCACATTACATTCTTCTGAATATTCAACAGAAAACAACTACTTCCCTGACTATTTTCCACGTCGAAAATTCAATTGAATCTGTTGAACATCCAAACAGGGAGCATGAAAAATTAAAATCCTTTGAAATTGGAGATCGACAATCTCTCAAATCTGATAAGTAATATGATGTATTATGATTTGAAAATATAACTTGCCAATATGATATTGATATGATAACTGAACATTTTTTTTCATGTTCTGGTTCCCACTAAAAGGGATATCCTGTGATGTTCAGAGAATATCGTGAGAATCAAGGGAAATAAGGTAGGAATTGATGTTCTTCTTAAATTTCTAAAGGTTATCTTGGCAATGTGTTCCAGAGCCTCGCTGTTCGTTAGATGAACGAGTCTTTGGAAAGAGATGTTCTGCAGGTCTCCAAAGTAACCACGGAGGCGTACGAAGCCTCAACTCGACGGGTTAATCGGGGGACTGCCAAGGGAGGAACAATTGTTGATATTTCAGAAGAGCATCGTCCATGGAAATATCTATAAAATAGAGCCAGATCGCCAACTCTTTAGGTTCCGTCTGTGCTTAGGACCACACGTTGGAAGTGATAACTTCTATGTGGCTGGTCAGTTTTTCTTCTTCGATTTCCTTACTTCTTTGAATTCCGTCCATCTTTGATTTCCTTAATTTTTTGTATTCCTGCCCTCATTGGTTTCCTTACTCCTTTGGTTTCCTCACGCGGTGACCAGAGAGAGACAGAGAGAGACGCAAGACGAGAACTCGGGAACCTCCACCTCCAGGCGCCGTCGATAACGCATATTAACATATATTTATACCGGACTTATGGTATGCGGTGACCGTGATGTGAGTTTTTCTGTTAACTCGCATCCCAGAGAGTGCCTAACGGACCCATGGAAGATATCACCTTAACAAAGTGGGCATCTTATTGCATTACCTGAGGCCACCGTCATGAACCTGTCACTATGCCAGGTGGTGCTAGTATGCAATGATTACACAGTGGAGACGATTTGATGGATTTCAATATTTCGTATGTTTATCGGAATTAGCCATAATAAACCTGATAAACCCGATATTGACTTCTCATGCAACAAGCTATTACTGGTAGAGGATCCAAAGTAAGGTTAACCTGCACCCATCTGTTAGATGAAAATTATTGCCAAAGCTGATGAATCTGCGATTGATATCTGTCTAGCTAATTGAAGGAAAACCAAATCACGCTCCATGAAGGATAAGGCACTGTTGATGCTAATGAAGTTTGGTCATCGCAAATTATAACTCTACGCCTCTGCTTATTCGTTAATTCCAGATTGCAATGACTTTCCACATATACAGAAAAAGTATACCTCATAAACGATATCGAGTGCTTTAATCAGTGCAGCCCTTCAGCTTCTAATATAATTGGTTCTTTCGTATTGATGTGCTGATCCCTCTACATTCACTGCATCAATCTCCCTTGGCAATAATCAGTTTAGATTAAATGTATACAGTGTGTCCCAGCTTACATTTGTTACTCCCTTCTCTGACAAGTCTAAGAAAAACCTGAAAATCGCTGATACCGGTCGGTCTCCATTTCAAGGAAAAACTTTCACACCAAATATACCATCATCATGCTGTCAACTTCCTAATCCTCAGCACCTTCTAATTCTGAATCTCCAGTAGGAATTATAATACCTGTGATACATCATTTTGTATGGACTACAATCCGATAAATACATCCGTGTTATGATGCAATTGAGAATCGATTGAGTGTCATGGAAGTTTCAAATGGATATTGAACTGCCAAGTCCAAGATCCACATCGTCACTAAGAAGCTACATGAACTCTTCCAGGTTTTGCACAACTTGGAAATGAAACATTCTTCTGATCCATACCAACCTATGACTTTGCTCCAGGCTGTCAGGGAGGCGAATTCTATATTCGAAGATTACAATAAGCAGGATGCTCATGAGCTACTTGTTAATTTGTTGGATAATATCAGGAGAACTGAAGACGATTTGATTCAACAAGTTCAACACTATCCCAAATTATTGGATGGAAAGAAATCGACAGTGAATTCTTTGAGAATGTGGAATAGGACCTGCTACAAGAAGATCGAAACTGCTAGAGAGGCTATTCCAGTGGATCATATGAATGATGGAGATTCCACATAAAAAGGGGATTCCGATGATGTTTATGCATATGATAGTAGATTTATCAATAGAAAAATAGGAGACAATTTCATTGCGGAAGTTTTCGAAGGCATAACTTCAAGGCACACCAAATGTTTGAATTGCCAATGCGTAACAGAATGCAAAGAACCATTCTTCGACACCCAGGTGCCGGTTCCCATGAAGGACTATATTGAAGAACTGACCGACGTCCACGACATCTTCTGCAAATCATGCATAACGACGGAGGAATTATGTGGCAACAACCAATATTTTTGCGAGACCTGTTCGAGTTTTAACGACGCTAGCAGAAAGGTATCATTCTAAAAACTCCCGATGATTATGATTCTACAATTGGGAAGGTTCTCAACGACAACGTCCGGTACCCAGAAAGTGAACACCTACCTACCTACCCCTCTAGATTTGCGTTGTTTTTGTGCAAAATGCTGCAAGATGGACAGAAACGAGCTGGTGCGTTACCACCGATACAACAAGGCCTGCATGCTCCGTGGGTGACGTCACTTAGTGAGGCCTAACCAGCGGCTCGAAACGACAAGCGCTTATAGCGCTATAATGCGAACGCGTATTTCGATTTTAGTTTTAGATCATCATTGAGCCGATTTTGCTGTTTTTTGTAGGGCTTCCGGTTAAAAAAGGATGCCAGTCGTCAACTGAGCCCTTCTTCGCACCCCATTCGATTTTATTATGGAAAAACGAAGTATTAAAGCAAAAATCAGGATAAAACACAAATATCCACCTACAGCAACCCATTCGAATTAAATATATTGGCAAAAATTGTGGTGAAGGTAAACTTCACACCTACTTATACAGGGCCGCAGAACATAAACTTATCGTGAGATTGATCTAATGAAAATAGTGGAAAATTTATTTTATTTTGATTGACATGCCGTTTGTTACAATCACCTATATTTATCTTGAAAAATTCCTATTACCTGAAAAAATAACCAGTGAGTGTTTTCAATTTTCTGTTGTTGGATTTTTCACCCAAGGGGATCGTTACACTTGAAACCGTAATTTTTAAGGGTAAAACTGCATTTATCATGCGATGGTTTTTATTTTGGAAATTTTTTTTCGGTACTCACGTATTTTTGTCTGATAAACCGAATTTTATAATGAAAATCTGAACACACCACTATTTATTGAGATATTTCAAGAAAAAGTTCGAAATTTAGCCTTCTTTCTCTCCTTGTGTTGGGGGCATTTGAAGCTACTTGCTCTTATTTTGTTATTGGACACTTTATATACTCATGATGTACTTCGATGGCACATTTTTATATAGAAAATTTAACAGGAAATATGATTTTTATGGCGAGTTTTTCATATTTAGTGAAAAAGCATTCCAGATGACGACCATTTAATCAAAAGTCAATCAAAATACGAGATGTCAAATGTCAATAGATTGCTTTCGAATGACATTACACACGCCATTATTTTGAATGATATTCTTTCTTCTTTTCACTAAATATGGATTAATCTCAAGAAAATCATATTTATAGTTGAATTATATATAAATTGTCCAATATGATGAGAAAAGGAGGGAAATTTGTTCTAAGTGCCACCCAGAAGACAGGTGAAAAAGAAGGTGAAATTTTGAACTTTTTAGTCAAATATCTTCATAATAAATATCATGATAAATGCAGTTTCACCTTTTTAAGTAGAGTGTTTGTACTTCATGTTGATATGATAGTTGCAATTTGATCATTGGAATGAATTCTGCATTTATTGCCACGAGGCAAATGACCGTTTTCAGAAAAATATTTGAGAATGAGAATTAAAAATGCCCGTTTATTATGAACATTCAAGAAAATTTCCTCGAATTCAGAGATGATTTTGTTGACTATTATATACGAATACAAAACTAACTGCACAATCAAAGCTTTTCTATTTTTCCTCTACTTATACTTTTTATGAGAGAGTAATTGTCTTCTTTCATTGATTCATCATTATAAATTGAGCTCTGTTTACTACTGAACTTAGATGGAGTAGAATCATCGCAGTGAGTTGCATATACCCACATTTTCGATAGCTCCTCGTCCAACGGGAAACTAAAAGCATGAACTTTTGAACCACCCACATAATTCCCCCGACAAAAAGGAACACAACACTTGAAAGGCATTGTTATTTCGCCGATCACAACCCAAAATATTTCACAAAACAGTAATTTTTCCGCCAATTATTTTGATGAATAAACAACAGAAGAATTCGGGACTGTTTCAAAAACATACGTGAATCACCGATGAATTAACACGAACTGACGCGTTAGTCGACAAGCGATAAAATAAAACACTGGCCTCTCTTGGTGACGTCACGAGCTGTTTACGTCAGAGTCTGCTGGCCTTGTTGTATCGGTGGTAACGGCTGGTGCCGCACTGTTACAAAATGTGCTGCGTCATCATGCACTTGGGCTGCACCATGGCCTCGGGCCACTACATCGCCTACGTGAAAGCCAGCGATCCGTCCATCGATTACTTCAACTTCCCGTGCAAAAGATCGATTGTTGCGGACTGCAGATGCACAAATACGTTCTTGTGCAAACCGCCAACGATAACTCCGTGTGAGAAATTAGGCAGCTCGAAAAAAACCTCTGCTCCTCCTCCCAGGGGGAAGAGTTGTGGCTGGAGTGCAACGACGAATACATCAAACCCATCTCCACAAAGGAGTTCGTGAACTTGTTGGGCTTCAAGCCAAACTCCTCGTCGACGCCCTATCTGCTGTTCTACACGATATTGTGATGTTTATTTACTTCATGATAGTTTTATTCTCTGGTTCCCAGATTCCCTCACAAGGGAAGGGAGAGTGCCGCAAGTGGATTCATTGGACCCGATCTCAACATAAAAATGACACTGAAAAGTGTCAAACTGGAGCAGAATCTCTGAAGTAAAAGTTTTTGCATTTTAATATTGAGAATGGGAGCAGATTCGTTCACGAAACGACCAAAACTGAGTAAATTCAATTTTTTTTTCAATATGTCTATATTTCTACCCTCCAAACTTTTTTCCAAACGAACTATGCCGATGACAAGATATTGGATTATGGGGCAACTCATCTAATCAAACTTTTTTCCGTCAGAGAAAAAACAATATTTATGCCTGAATTAACATGTTATAGAGAACAATATTCGATTGCAAACATACCAAAACCAAATAAAAGACAGAGTTAATTCATAATTCATTTATCCTCAGCTCTTGTAATTTCCAGAGAGTGTTTTGATAACAAAATACTAGGAATGACTACAAATACACTATATCAGAGCTATTAACGATAAAACGATAGCGATGTAATATTTTACAAAAAAAATCGCGTTACGGGAATTTATCAGATTTGTACATTTTCCCCTTGGCTGGATACGAATAAGCATGACAGTGGCTGAGCTGTTCAGTTTCTAGCCTTGATTCCTAGTTTGGTTTGAATTATTCATCTATTTCCAGCTGACTTACAGAGCTCTTAGGCTAGATATCCGAGTTATATGACGAATGAAACATTGAAAAATTGTGATATAGACTCAACAAGAAACACAGTCACTGAATGAAGTCAGTGAATAAGTCCAAACCTCAGGGGGTGATTGCTAGAGATATTTCAGTATATTCAGGATATTTTAGACAACTGGTTACGTAAAGCGAGACGTTCCGAAACGTCAGTTTTGACAAATGTGGAATTACATGTCAAACTCAAAAAATAGGTATCAAACTCCAAATGACATCAAAAGTGGATTTTTAATGACACATAACAGACAGAAAAGGTGTACTTCTACTGCATAGACAGTGGTAATGTCTTTGAGTTTCTCTCTTTGTGACCATTGCATTCCACTTCCACTGAGTATTTGGCTTTTTCCTAGTTGATTCATTGAATCGTTTAGAAATATGTAAACCTTGGTAGATGATACCATCGAACAATCATTGTGCTGATCAACATAATAAATCATGTCGTACGTAGCTGAAATCGTTCCGATTTGTCAAAAAATATGTCGATACCGAAAGTCATGGTTATTTGAATCGATCTAATTGACACATGATGGTGAAAGCTCATGTATGAATTATTATTTGTGTCGTTTTATTTTTATAAAGGATCGATGATAATCACATATTATTCCAAACATTTTCACAACTTGAAAAATTGCTTGCACCTGTAACCCGTAATACATTTCGTAGTTTTAACTGTATTTGGTTCAAGGAATGTTTCAATGTTCATTGGTTGCATATACGCATCGGTATCTATTATGTGTTGCTTAGGTATCATTGACACTATCGACAGTCCAATCTACTTAGGTAACATTTCTTTATCAATTTATTATTATCCACCTAAAAAGCATTTGATCAAATCCTGGAATATTGTTGTCTGGTTAGTGGTGGACAATATTTATTCATATAGCAAGGTAGTAAAGAATATCAGTATTACCCAGCGGCCAAGATTATCTCCGGAGGCTTGAACCGAGTGGTATACAGGGTGTCCAGAGATAAAACTGACAAAACTCATGGGGTGATAGGAACTGCCAATATGATTGCAAAATAAAATTTTCAAATGTCCAAAATCGCTTCGTAAATGACATACCTACACAGTGATTCATGGATTTGAACATAAAATTCAATCCGTCATATTAAATACAGGGATTACTTGATTGGGTTCAAATTTGGTACATGAATAGAACTCAAAGACTTCAACAAGTAGTCATTTGAACAAAACTAATATCAGGACCAGAATATTATTTTTTTCCTATGTTGACCCTGTATTACCATTATCAAAAATTGTGGGTCATATCTACGGGAAAATACTATAGGGACTTGTTGAGAAAGTTTATGGCAGGATATCAGTGATTTCGTAAATTTTTTTTTCATCATTTGGCGGATGAGATATCAGCAAAAATGGAAATATAATAAATATATACGAAACCAAAACATAATTGTTCTTATTTTCTTTGATATATTTTATAATTAACTCTCGTGACCTGAAAAAACTGAAGAATACATTCGTATCAGGACCGGAAT